GTGTGTGTGTGTGTGTATGTGTGTGTGTGTGTATGTGTGTATGTGTATGTGCACATCGGGGTATGCATGCCTATGTGTGCATGAAAGTTAGAGGAAGTTGTCAGGTGTGCTGATCTATCACTTTCTTCCTTTTACCTTGAGATGGAGGTCTCTCACTGAGCCTGGAAGCTGGTAGCCACCAAGTTTTATCAGTCCTCCTATCTCTGCCCCCACAAGTTTGTACAGCAAATGCTCTTACCTGATGAGCCACCTCTCCAGGCCCACCCCCTCTTTTTTTGAGACAGGGTCTCATGTAGCCTAGGCTAACCTCATACTCACTTATAATGACCTTGAATTTCTGATCATCCTCCCTCTACCTCTTTTTATGTGATCTTGGGGGCATCAAATCCAGGGGTTTATGCTTACTAAGAGAGCATTCTACCAACTGAGCTACATTCCCACCAGTTTGTTGTTGTTGTTGCTGTTTTTTAAAAAAAATATGTGTTCATTCATTCATATGAAAATACCTGGAACCAGGAACAAGGACCTAGTGACAGGACTGGGCAGGGGCTGGAGGGTGACATGCTAGAACACACTTGCTGGAAACACAGGAGCATATAAGCCAATTCAACATCATATTAAATTCAGGTGTGGTGTCCACCTGTCATTCCAGTAATTGGGAAGTTGAGGCTGGAAAATCAGGTCACCATGGCAACATAGTGAGTTCAAGGCCAGTGTAGGGTACAGGAGACCCTGTTCCCCCCCCCCCCAACAGATGCACAAAAACTAATAGGACAAGCACTTGGGAGGCAGAGGCCTGTGGATCTCTGAGTTTAATGCCAGTCTGGTCTACATAGACAGTTCAAGGCCAGCCAGGGCTGCATAATGAGACTGTCTCAAGATAAAGCAAGCAAACAAAAAACTGCTAAGGAAAGATGCTGCACTTATGTAACCACAGCACTCAGGAGACTGAGGGAGAAGGATTTCAACTTCAAAAACAGTCTGGGAGGCTGGAGAAATGGCTCAGTAGTTAAAAGTACATGCTGCCTTTCAGAGCACCTGAGTTCAATTCTCAGCACCCATGTCGGGCAGCTTACAACAGCCTGTAACCCCAGCACTGCACTCACACACACAAACCCCCACACATAAATACATAGTTTCAAAAATATATAAAACAAAATATTTTATTTTTATTTAACATTTTATTTACTACTTTTATTTTATGTGTATGTGTGTATTGCCTGCATGTATGTGAGTGCACCTGTGTCTTTCAGTGCCTGCAAAGGAGAGAAGAGGGTGTCAGAACCCCTGGAACTGGAGTTTGCAGACGGCTGTTAGAAGCCTGGGATTCAAACCTGGATCTTCTACAAGAACAGACAGTGCTCTTAGCAGCTGAGCCATCTCTTCAGCCCCAAAACAAAATATTTAGAAGCCTGGCTTACACACGGAGAACCTGCCTCAATAAGGACTTTTGTTTATTTATTCAGTTAGTTTTTTACAAAACAGATCCCTTTCAAGTCAAGAAAACAAATTTCACAACACGGTATATGGCGCCCCCCCTTCACCAGTGGAAGCTCAAGCTGAAATGAAAGTGCAAACTGCTACACAGAGCCCGAGCAATTTTGTGAAATCCTTACAAGGACTTTAACAAGTGACATACACACACAGAAGGACAAATATTGCCTACTTTCTCTCACGTGTGGAATCTTGATGTCAGGGTATGAAAGCAGAAGGGGGCTAACTAGGAAGAGAGGGAGACCAGCCTAGTAAGGGGGAGGCAGAGAGGGCAGAAGTGAGTATGATCAGAGTATGTGATATACATGTACAAAATGTCATTTTGTATAATTAATACATACTGATTTTTAAAACAAGGACTTTGAAGAATGGGTGTGGGAGACTTGATGGTTTCTGGTATCACTTTAAAAAATGTTTTATCTGTTATTTTTATTTTATGTATATGAGTGTGTTGCCTGCATGTGTGGAAGTGCACCCATGTCCTGCAATTCCTATGGAGGTCCGAAGAAGGAATTAGATCCCCTGGAACTGGAGTTTACGGACAGCTGTTAGCCACCATGTGGGTTCTAGGAATCGAACCCGGGTCTTCTGCAAGAGTAGCCAGTACTCTTAACCACTGAGCCATCTCTCCAGCCCCCTGGTTTCACTTTTAATGCTATAATACTACACAAAAGGTAAATAATAAAAATGATAAGAAAATGAGGTAAACTAAGAAAAAGAGAGAGAGAGAGAGAGAGAGAGAGAGAGAGAATAAATGAATGAAACATAATAATTTTAAAAAGAACCTAAGGTCTGGGAAGAGGTATCTCCATCTATAAAGCACTAACTCTCACAAGCACAAGGACCCGAGTTTGAGCTCCAGAACTCCTGCAAAAACAGCTTGGCATAGTGATGCATGCTTGTAATCTGAGTGCTGGGGAGGCAAAGGTAGGACGATCCCTGGGGCTTGCTGGCCTAACTGGTGAATTCTCGGCCAATGAGAGACTGCCTCAAAGAAGGTGGGCAGTGTTCCTGAGGATGACATCCACAGCTGTCCTCTTGCGTCCACGTGCATGTGCACACATATGCATATGCACACAGAGCATGTGCACATACTCACATGCATCAAAAAACCAAAAAGTTAAAGCCAGTGGCACATGCCTTTAGTCCCAGCACTCGGGAGGCAGAAGCAGGCAGATCTCTGTGAGTTCAAGGCCAGCCTAGTCTATACAGCAAGTTCCAGGCCAGCTGGGGCTATAGAAAGACCCTGTCTCAAAAAAAACTAAAAGAAAAAAAAAAAGCAAGTTGACAATTTAGGGGCTGGAAATACAGTTTGGTAAAAGGAGTGCTTGCCTAGGTTGTTTGAAGCCCTGGGTTCAATCCCTAGCACTGGGGGTGGCAGAGCTGAAAAATTAAAACAATAAAGTTACAAAGAATAATAAAATTGATATTTAATGTACAGTTTACATTTATAAAAATTAAAATCTTATCAGAATTTCAATTGCAAACTTCAATTAGAAAACTGAATTTAACAAAATGTTAATTAGTCTAGCTCAAGCTACTGATAATTGGAGGCCTGTACTTCTAGTCCTCTGAAGAAAAGACAAACACAGCCAGCATCTGTGATCTTCAGATTTAAGGCAGATCTGTTACATAAACGTGGAAATAATTATTCTTTCATTTATTGTTTAAAAAGAGGCTTTTACAAGATGGTCTTATACAGATATTCTGAAAATGTAACGGGAATATAGAAAACATTTCCAGTACAGCCCTAATTAAGAAATCAAAGTAACCTGTGATAGAGCTTTCCCAGAATAAACTTTTTATCCTAACTAAAGAACTTAACTTCCAAAATTAAAAGACTAAAGAAAACAAATATGCAGGTGTCAGGACTCAGGTTTGCTTTGCTTAGTGGGGGACCTACTGGCTTCGGGGCAGAGGGTCTGATCGGCGACAGAGTCATAAACTCTGGGACCTTTGTCTTCCCAACAGGCCAATTTATTTTAAAATTCAGATGGTTTTTATACATCCCAAGGAACTAGCAGTCATGTGGGATATGACAGTCACATAAAAAGATTTAGGGTACAAAGAAACAGGACATTTAGGCTGTTAGTTGGTGCCAGACGGATTCTCAAACCTTTACTCAAGGTTATCAGTGCTCATCTGGTAATTTATTGGCCACAGTGTTTTCTTTCTTAGAGCTAAAAGCGTGGTGAACTTTTAGCTTTTAGCTCAGGAGTAAACCTTTAACCTGGCCTAATCTCTTAGCCAGGGATAGCTGAGTTATTTGTTCAGGACAAGGAGATGAGCTAAGGGCTGTTGACCAAGAAGCTTTCCCACAGAGCAGGGAGCCTGCACTTTTACGACCAGGCCGCTTCCTCCTGCCACTCTGGCAGTGTTCTGCAAGACAGGGATCATCAGAGCTACTGTTTTCAGTGCCCCTCCCTTTAGCAGAGAATGCAGCCTGGACCTATAAGTTTTAGGCTCACCTCACCCTAGGGCCTGGCATCCTGGTTTCCTACATGCAGGCATTAGCAAACCCCCATGTGCTGCTCCACTTGGTTTACTCCACACTGTGTCCCCTCAGGGTCCCTTCTCTTTCCATCACTCAGATGTCCAAATCCCAAATGGTGGGAAGCACCTAGTGTTGTAAATAAGTCAACTCATAAACATTTGCCCAACAGCTGCAAAGGAGGACAATGTGATGACCATGGGGGACAGGAGGCAAAGGCTGATGACTTCAAGCCTTTTTTGAACTACCAGAAACCAAGGAGTATGACTTTTAGACTCAATTGCAAGCTGATTAATCCAAAGATGAACTGTCATTCAGACTCCAATTTCATACACGTAGTTGGGAAACCTATGCGTATGCACTTATTACGCTGTTGTGTGAAGCTTCTATATGTTTGAAGTCACTCAAAATAAGAAGAAAAAAAATACCTTTTCCAGCATCTCTGAGTCAGTGTGACTCAGCAGACTCTCATCAGTGGAGACTGAAAGGAGTCTTGAAAACGCTTTGGAAACAAAGAGAACAAAGGAAAGAAGGCACACTCCTGTGCTGAGACTGGCCTTGTGTTCTGGAGAAAAGCTTCGACTGCTGACACTGGAGCCGGATCTGCTGTGGGGGGCGTCCTGCCGGCCTACAGGTAACTAAAAAAGGAGCATCCCAGCCGGGCGTGGTGGTGCACGCCTTTAATCCCAGCAGGGGCAGGTGGATCTCTGAGAGTTCGAGGCCAGCCTGGTCTCCATCAGCAAATCCAGGCCAGCTGCAGCTATGGGGAGACCTTGTCTCAAAAAGACCAAAAAAAGAAAAAAAAAAGAGCATCCCTTTTATGGGAGACCATTCTCTTGAATAATGGGAAGAGCAGACACCTTTTCCTCTAAAACTATCTCTCCAGTCTCTATAATCAGGCTGTCGGCATGCAGAATGGCCATCTCTTGTCCATCCGTATAGGCAGATTCATCTCTGGGAGGTGGACCACTTCTTCCATCATGAGAAAAATTGCAGCCCTTGTCATATTCTTGCCTTCGTCATATTCTCGGTAATCGACATGACTGTAATGTCTGCTGTAGCCCCCTTCTTCAGGTCTGTTTAGTAGAGGTGGTCTCTTCTAGCAGCTTTGTTGGCACAATATTAACTACTCTATGGTTGCCATCACTGGGGTGATTCTGAGGAGAAATCATAGTGTCCCTCAGACTACATTTCATCTCTTGTGTGAGCCACTCCGCTCTGTCACCGCCAAGACCCACTATTTAGGTTTTCTGAGACAGGGTCTCCCTGCAACCCCAGCTGGCCTGGAACTCTCTATATAGACCAGCTGGCCTTGACAGAGATCCACCTGCCTCTGCTTCCCAAATGCTGGGATTAAAGGTGTATACCACCATGCTCGGCCTACTCTGGCGTTTTTGATAAAATTTTCTGATATTAGAAACAACTTCTTTGGATTCCATCGTAGGCTGAAGACCAGGAATCCTCCAGACCTGCAACACCAGATTGGAACTGCTGAGTCCTGCAGCCTCATAGACTGAGCAACTATAAGATTCTCAGCCTCTCCAATGTGGCCCAGCCATTGTTGGCCCACCCGTATGCTATTCTGTAAGTAAATTTATTAAATTTCATATATATTCATTCTTTAAGCTATGTTCCTCTGGAGAACCATGATGAATACAGATTATGATGCCAGGAGCTGTTCTGGAGAAACAGAATTGAAAGGATGAGTTTCTCTAGTGGATTTGGTGGTTTCCTGGGCTGATCTCCAACAGGAGGTAACCTAGTTATGTTATACCTCATTCACAGGACCCCAAGAAGACCACTGAGGACCCAACACACCAAAAATGCAAAAGCAAGGTTTATAGTTTATTCGGGCTTAAGCTCGGGCTCTCAGACTGCACCGATATAATGGAACCGTGCTGAGAGCCCCGGGTGGGGGAAGAAGGGGCTCTTTATAGGTTAGAGACAAAGGGAGGAGGGGAATAACAGTGTCACTTTGTGGTTGGTCCAAGAATCCTGCTCACGCCAACACACCTTTGAACTGATCGGTTGTACAGGATGCGGTCGTGGAGATTTTTTATTGGTGGGTGTTTTTCTCAGGGTTGTGGAATGTGCTGGCCATCTGTGTGGTCAGGAGTCTTTATTTTTACTCTATAGAGCAGTGTTCATACCAGGGCTTATCTAATCTATAGTTTCCTGGAAGGGGAACAGCAGGGGAGGAGTAACAGCAGGTGTGCATTTCAAGCATTACACAGAAGCTGAAAAGAGCAATCAGTGGGGTGTCGGGAGGGGTTGAATGAGGGGGATCTCTGGGTCCTACAGTTAGTACAGACTCCCTTGGTAACTTGGAGAGCTGTGAAAGTCCACAGTGTGAACTATTTGAGGAGTTTATCAAGATAAATGGATTTGATACTCCTGATTGACCAGAATTTAGTAACTCTGTCTATAAAACCTTTGAACATCTGTGGAAAAATAAGGAAAATAACAGTGCTGGCTTGTTGCTTTTAGCATCTCTGGATAAAGTGGCAAAGCAAAATAATGAGCTCAATGATAGAATTAACTGGTTCAGAATCACATAAACAATCTAAAGATTTCTAAGTGTGTCCCAGAAGAGACTCTTCCCCTCCAAAGCCATAGAGCTCAAGTAGCCCTGAATCAAACTCAAGCTCATATTATAGGATTGGTTGACTTACAAGGCAAATAGAATTCCAAGCCTTGAAGGGTGTCTGCAGTAAAAGCAAGAGCACAGATACAGAAAGAGTGGGATCCTATAACACAGGATGGGAATGTGTGGGAGAACCCTACTGAGGCTGGCTGAGAACTTTGAGACCTCAGATTCTGAAGGGTTTAATTCACCCAAGGGAGTAGTCTCCTCACCCTTAGAAGAGGCTTCATCCCAACCAACACACCCTAAAGTATTGGCCTTTCCATCCTTGCTCAAGGGAATTAATCCTGCATTGTCTGAAGAATCCACAATGGCCTTCCCAAGACAATGCTGATGTCCCTTAGTGCCCACCAATTACTCCTCTGTAACATATAACCAGCCTCAGGGCTAAGCGGGTCCCTAGAGGTCAGATAGAAAGTTCGGTCCAAGAGGAAGTGTGCTATACCACTAAAGAACTTAATGAGTTTGCTAATTCATTCAAGTAGACATCTGGGGACTGTGTGGAAATGGATTTTAAAGGTGTGGGATAAAGAAGAAAGGAACGTTTGAGGGGAAACCCTGTCTCAGAGCATCAAAAGGAAATAGTAAACAGAAGAAACTGAAGAAATTGGGTCTACCTGGTTCTTCAGTTTCTGTGACTGAAGAGCAGGTTGGGTAGTAATAGATTTATTTCATACATTTAAGTTCCTTCCTTTGCTGAGTATGGGTAAAGACAATGTACTGGGCCCGATGCACTGGCTTAGAAATGGCATCTGTTAAAGGCTGGAGAGATGGCTCAGCGGTTAAGAGCACTGACTGCTCTTGCAGAGGACCCGGGGTTCGATTCCCAGCACCCACATGGCAGCTAACAACCATTCTTAACTCTCTTAACTCTAGTTAAGAGACCCTCACAAGTAGCCACCAGGGATAACTTGTTTTTCCCTGGCTCTGAGGGTCTGGGCAGCAGTGAGGTCACAAGCAGCACAATGTGGCTGGGTATATTTTGAATCACATTGAAGCTGTGGGTGGTGCTGTGTGGGATGATGCCCAATAGAGGGCAGTGTTTGGGCCTTGTGTAATGTTCAGTCATAGCAACTTAGCTGTAGCCACTTGGGCCAGGGTGGCATCCTGTGTGCAGGACACGAAATCATTGTAGAAGTTCACCAGCACCAGACTGCCTTATATTATTTTGCTCAGAGAAGGGAAGAACTGGAGAGGACCCATGGGAGGCAGGGTATCCTACTCTGCTCCCTGATGCTTCACCACCAGCTGGAGCGCCTTGTCTGCTTCCATAAGTTGTAAGCCAAGGAGTGACTGAAGATGACTGGCCTTGAATAGCTGCAAAGTAGTCTTCATGGTGGCCACCGACATGTGGGCCAAATTGATCCTGACATCCAGGTGGTTCATTTCCTTCAGCACCTCACAGATATCCTGAGCTTGAGGCATGGGAGGGGCAGCACTGGACAAGGTGTTAATTAACCCGTTGGTGGCTGGAAGTTGCAGGACACTCAGGATTCAGCATTCTGAATGCTCAGGGCTTCCAGCAAGCTCCACCCTAGAGACAAACATGTTAGTTCCATCTGACTGAGGACACAAAAGTCCATCGTACCCCGTGCCTGGCCCTCTGCCATGTCCCCTGGAGACGGAGGTCCTTTATCTTCACCTTTCCAAAGGGTAACAAGCCTTGGCTCTCAGTCCTGTGATCTCTGTCCACCAGCCAGTTGGGCCCTGAGATAGAGTAGTGGTCTCGGCCTGCCCTCACCTGCCCAGTTGACAAGGCCTGGCTTGGGCCTCAGCAGAGGACAGTACCCAGGGCATGACAGAGACCATCTTTTCTTTCGCCTTCCAAGCACAGACCAGGGTCCTTATGCTCTGACCCCTTAACAGGTTGTAATGCATTTATGGGTGAGGGCCGGGTACCACACACCCTCAGGGTAGAGTACCCACAGGCTACCCGGACTGCTGTCAATGAAAGGGCTATCCTCCACATCAGTCAGACTGGCCACTTTCCCTCCTGAAAGGCCTACCAGATGCCTACAGAGAGCAAAGGAGAGGAGTGGCAAAGGATGTCCAGGATTCAAGGTCCCACTCCCTACTTAAGACCAAGCCTGGCATGGGGACTTTAAGGCCTTGGCGAGACACCACCTGAACTGCTGGTGACATACAACGAGGTCTCAGGATATATATATATATATATATGGCACATGTGATATATGACATCCATCTGCTCCAGAATCTTCTTCATAGCTTCTTTTAAAAAAAATTAGTTTATTTTTATTTTTTGTGTATGAGTGTATTGCCTGCATGTATGTAAGTTGTGCAATGCCCATAGAGGTCAGAAGAGGGCGTTGGATCCTCTGGAACTGGAGTTACAGACAATTGTTAGCTACCATGTGAGTCTGGGAATCAAACCCGGGTCCTCTGGAAGAGCAGTCAGTGCTCAACTGCCGAGCCATCTCTCCAGCCCCTTCACAGCATCTTTATTTTGGGTGTCACAGGGCGTATATGCAGACCAGAACTGGGGTCAAGGGGGAGTGGCTGACAGCCCAGACCCAGCATATACACATGCATCTGGTCTCCTGCCCCTCCTGGAAGCCCTGATATTGCAGGGCTAGAATAGAAGAGAAGGGGACTCCAAGAGCTGAAGCAGAGAACAGTTTATTATTGAACTGTACAGTGACCCAGAGAGAGAGATTTCAAAATCAGGACCTTGAACAAAGAAAAGCTGAGCCTCTTCTACCCCATGTACAGTTAAGTTTCTTTGTCTCCCACACATGGTAATACACTTCCTAATTGGATGCTCTGTGCTACAAGGTCATGACAGGAAGAACTGTGGACATGCACTCAGGCACAGACCATGCTGCATTTCTTTTTGTTCTAGGGGGTGCCTGCCACGTTGGGTGGTAGCTCATATGCCCTCTAATGCCTATGGCCAAAGTGCCCAGGAAGCATGCTTCCCCAAGGAAGACCGCTCCTAACCAGTCCCACAGGGAAGGTAGGGGAGACCGCAATACAGAACAAATGAAAGACCAGGGGGATGTTCCTGGTCCCCACACAAAGCCGGCCTTCAGCTTGGGTATGTTGGTATTTGTGTTGGCCAGTGTGCTCTGGTCTTGTAGCTGGTTGTTGAACAACTTCAGCAGCTGCCAAGGTAGGCCATTGTGCCTGGGGAGAGCCAAGGAGGGGCCCAGGTGAGTTAGAAAGTCTTTTTGGGCCTCTAAGGCTCTGAGCCAGCTGGCCTGCAGGCTGCCCCTCTATACTTCAACATCCCACTGCTCAGAGGTAAAGAGTATCTGTGACTTTAACACACCTGCATACAGGTGAACTTTCGATTACATTCCAGGCCAGGTGACTGTGAGCTGAGTGTGCCTCAGCGTTCCATTCTGGGACAGGCAGGTCCTCCCATGGCCCTCCACTGGGGAGGAGGGGAGGGCAGAACCCTGCTCTGCTACAAAATCACTTGGGGCTGGAGCAGGGAACCAGTGCAGACACCGTAGAGGAATCTGACACTTTCAGTTGGAAGATTAAATTTGCCCTTTGCAGGGAGAGCTGGGACATGTAGTGAGTAATGTGTCCTCCAGGGAACAAGGCATCACTCATAGGATTCAGGCTCTTCTCTGACTCTATTCCTAGAGAAACCCTGATTCATCTTTGGCCACCTCATCTCTGACTCCAAAGGTTTTGATCCTCTGAGTTCCCAAGAGCACCAAGGGACTGCTTACTGGAGGAAAGAGGGGGTCAGGAGCTGGCCACAGTACAGGGGCACTGTACCACCTCCGTCTGTGCTGCTACAGAGTCTGGGGTTAACTCCTCCTTGAACCCCAGCAGACAGAGTCCAGCAGCAGAGGTAGGCCCACTGGAGTGCAGACAATGGTCCAGCAGGAGCCTTGACACAGATATGCATTGTGCATTGAGTTCCAAGTTTCCTGCTTTTGTGAGCTGTCATTCATGCTGGGGTGGG